GGGAGAAGAAGTGGGCTGTTGGGAGCTGAGAAAAGGCTGTTGGGAGCTGGTTAAGGTTGTAAGGAGCTGCTGATTATTTTGTTGGAGCTCATCATGCTGGCTTTCCTGATGAACTTGGCTGTTTTCACCCTCCAAGGAGCTTGGGACATTTTTGGTACTGAGAATGGCTTTGGTTCACTTTGAGGGAGCTCTGGTCCTCACTTTGAGCATCACTTCCTGGCTCTAGAGGGGAAGATGGTGCACTGCCGGTCTCCAGGAGAAGTTTGCTGAGTTGGCTTCCCTGATGGGAACTCGGCCATCTTGATCACTGGAGGAGCTCGGGACCTCACTGTTGCTGAGGATGGCTGTGGTACTTTGTGGGGGAGTTCTGGTTCTTCTAAGTGTCACTTCCTGGCTCCAGTGCAGACCCCTCAGCCTGCTAGCACAGATCCTTTATCCTGCTGGTACAGACTTCCTAGATTCCACCACTGAACGTCGGGCCTTCCCAGTGCAGATCTGTGAAACATGACTACATGGGACGTTGTTGTGGGCTCTGGGCCTCCAGTGCACTTATGGGAGGCATTGTTATGAGCTCTAGGTCGTAAGCTGGACTCATGCAGGACATTGTCACGGACCCAGGCCCTCAGCTGGATTCTTGATCTATAGTGTGTGGACAGATTTCATGTACTCCTTTGTATATTGTTCTTTAGGTGACTATTATGAATAATAATATAAAATATGTGTCCTGCATTATATTGTTTCACCTTGCAAAATAAGCCCCAAATCAACACAGTGTTGTCGTAAACACCGGAGCTGACAAATTCATTTCATTGTGCATTTCTACTCATGAATGACCTGGAATTGGCTGCAAATATGATACTTCTATGCATATTGTGATGAGGAACTGCCACACCATTTTCATAGTGGCTCATAACTTTACAAATTCTCATCTCAATGTACCAAGATTCTTCCAACCTGTCAACGTTCTTGTCATCCTCTCCAGCACCTGGTACTTCCTCTTCTTTCATTCATTGCTCTTTGTTTTCTTCATGGTAGGTTTCCTCCTGGGTATGGAGATTTGTCTTGATGAAGTTCTGATTTTAATATTCGCAATTATTGACCTTGTTCTCATGACCTTGTTGGTCATCTGCACATCTTTTTAAGAAGGGTGTGTAATCAGAGGATATACTTTTGATTGGACAATGCTGGGCAGTGAACCTAGAGCCTCATCTATGCTAAGCCTGTCACTGAGGTACATCTAACTCTTCCCTCCTTTTGTAAAGATAGTTTACTTGGTTTTCTCATCATTGTTGCTGTTCAGCAGGAAGAGGTATTTATATATTGTTGCCTCTTATCCATTTTAATTTTACAAATACTTCTTCAAGTCCATAGATTGTTCTTCCCTCTATTGAAAGTATTCCTTAATAGACATTTTTTAAAAATTTGGCAAAGTACAATGTATCTATTTTTGTACCTGTATTTCAGTGTTTGACCTATGAGCCCTCACTAAAATCTACAATAAAGATTATGTATTGGGGCTGGGGATTTAGCTCAGCGGCAAAGCGCCTGCCTGGCAAGCGCAAGGTCGTGAGTTCGGTTCCTGGTACCGGAGAAAAACCAAAAAAAAAAAAAAAAAAAAAAAGATTATGTATGAAGACTACATTACTCTCAAAAGTTTCATATCTTTATACCATTCTCACATAACATAGTGTAAGTGTGTGTGTTTGTGTGTGTGTGTGTGTAGAATGGTTCAAATTTAATTGTTTCATGGTATAACCCAGTTTCTCTACCATATTCCTTAAAATCACTATGCTTTTTCTATTGACTTGTGTTAGAATCCTTGTGGAAAATAATAGTACCATGCACTGGATTTTTTCTAGGCTCTGCCCTATATTCAGTTGGACCCTGTAACATTCTATAACTACCATACTCTTGATTATCATTGTTTCATTGGTGATTGTGAAAGAGAAACTTTCATTTTCATTTAAGTTCCCACACTCTGGTCATTTTAAAGAGAGATTCTATGCTTTTTGGTCCCTGCCTTTGATCACTGGCCAGAACACAACTTAGTGCACTCAGAACATGAGTTCAGCTCTTCATTAAAGCACAGGACATTTCTGTGACAGTGGAGAAGGTGAGATCTGTCACGTAGTGTGGGGTGCAGGTGGGGCAGAGAGGATTTATATGGGAAAAGACACTTCAGAGTCCACCTCCTCAGTGTGCATGGCAGTATCAACTATCTGCAGGAACCATGCCAGGAAATCACACAGACTTGTGTTAATGACACTGTGGAGCTGGGATCCAGGTCCCAGGGAAGCCTCGGCCCCAGGGCATGCAGCCTCACCCCACGTGGGTGACCACAGACAGGAGCCAAGTCAGGACCTTGCTCGGTCTGAGCAGAAACCAGTGAGCACTCACAGCCTCCCCATCCCAACACAGCAGAGAAGGCGGCAGCCTGAGGACCCTGTGCCAGGCAGTGATGAGGGACACACACCTACACTACAGGCCTCAACCCACTGGGAGAGGCATGGCCATGTTGCTATGTATTTGGCTCAACCTAAAGGAAGAGAGAATAATGTGGGACCTAAATTTAAAAAGGAGGTGTGTGTGAGAGTATATGTGTGTTTGTGTTTACAGCCATGTAAAATTTTTGTCTTCAGATTACATTGCTCACTAAATCACATGTCTTTAAATGAATATCTCCTATGCTGAAAATGACACTTCTCATATGTTCCCAAATTTTGCACAAAATACACCAAAGTAAGCACAGGATGTTAGAGCACCTGAGTCAGCAGAAAGAATGGAGAACATTTAGCATTCTTTCATATTTCCTCTTTCTTTAGCCATGTCTTAGACTGCACAAGTTCCAGTATCTGTCCTAGGACCTAAATACCTCTTCCCTGTTTTAAGCTCAGCTACAGCCAAAGTACATTAGCAGAGTCTTTGATTATTGACATTCACTTGAGATGCTGTTAATAGGTGAATCAAGAGTGCTGTAATCCACCCAAGATTTGTGGAAGCCATAGGGACAAGGTCTCCAAGTGTCCTGGAGCTGCGTGTGACACCCAGGAGGGCACCACTGTCCTCATTGCAGGACTTGTTCTCTGGCACACACTGGGTACTAGCTTACAGAGTTTCAGACCTGATTCTCCATGATCCAGGGAGTTCCTGCAACTATTTATTCCTTTGCTATTGTACTGCTGGGATGGAACTTGTGACCTGCCCAAGCTAGGAAATACTGTGCCACTGGGCTACAAGCCTGCCCAATTGTGTTCCTTATTGCATTTTGTCTCAGATGACATCTTGCTAGGAGAGAGATACTCAGCATAGTATTTTGCCATTAACTTTACTCAGTAAATGCACGTATTTTCCTCTCTCTGGATTCAATTCTGTGATGTGATAGAAATGTTTCAACAGCAGGCAGCTGCTTTCTTCCTAAAGATACCACTCCATTATTATACATTGAATTTTGACTCTAAAGTCCTCATCAGCTATATTTCCATGTGTGGCCACCATTTTGGCTTGCTTTGGTCACAGTAAGTGAAGAGCAATTGAATTAGGTCACATATAACATATATAATATAGTTAGTATATAACTAACAAAATTTACTTTATTATATTTTAACTTACTACATTTTTATAAAATTATAAAAGCATGAATTAAGAGTTAAACAGCAAAACAAACATGTCTGCTTAGGGTCATCAGTTGGACAACCTGAAGGAGAACATCGTGTCATGCTCCTTGGCTAGGCCCAAAACAAGCTACTGGTCAGCTACATTGGAAAAAGATTATCAAAGTTCACTGGATGTTGCACAAAAATCACACATAAAAAATGTTTTCTACGATGTTGATCTGGGCTACAGAAGCTATTTTTTTCCAATTCTACTTCAACAGTGTCCATCACTGCAGGCTTGGAATGTCCAAGGCTCTCCTCACACTCTCCTGCTGCCCGCCTTCTAACCCCAGGTTCTCAGAGAAGAAACACATCAGGATTCGCTCCCCAACACCATACCCCTCCCCACAGGGCACAGGTTGGCTGGAAGAGGTGGTAGGACCTTCCTAAGTCTGTGCATGAGCAGATGGACTCCTAAAATATTGGGGCAGAGAGCGTGACTACAGCCGAACACTAACGTCAGGATCAGCAGATGTGGGATAATGATACAGGCTAGGGATGGGCCCATAACAGAAGTTACCTTCTCAGAATGACAGAATCTACATGGGAAGAATAGTCTGGTGCATTTCAAAGGGTAGCTGTGGAGGGGCAGGGACAGATTAATCTGCAATTTGAATTCTGGAAAATCCATTACTATTTTATAAAGTAGCTCTGACTCCACATCTCATTTTTCATCTTCCCAGACCGAATAGTTTATTTGTCATAAAGTTCTTAATCACTTAGCTTCAGTGGATTAACTCAGGTCACCTCACATGGAAAATATAAACTTGAAATTTCCCTGTATTTTTATAAGGTCTTCCTTTTTTTTTAGATACTGTCTCACTGTATAATTCAAGCTGGCCTTGAGTTCACTAGATTACCATTGATGGCCTCAAACTCCTGGAGATCCTTGTGCCTCAAACTCCTGAGTGCTGGGATTACAGGTGTGTGCCGCCAATCGGCCAAGACTTCTATTTTTCAAGCTCAATGTTTAATTTATATGTTTAATATTCTCCTGAAAATTTTCATTTATATGCCCATATTTATGTTTCTCACTTTAATAAATGAAAATACCATGGATAACAGACAAGGGTGTTAAAGGGACTTCAGTTTGTGGGTTTAAGTAGTAGACTGTAAAATTAAAATAAATGATACGTTCAGTTTCACAATAAAATGTGAAATGTAGAAATGTGTTTCTAAAGTAATGTATACATGGTTAGTGTTTTAAATTATTTCTAGTAAATTATTAGAATTTTAGTAAAAGAAATTTCAAACTATTGTTTTATATCCCTTAGTGTCTATAAATACAGCGTGCATATATTTCATATCATGATATACTAAAAGTATGCTTTCAAAATCCAAACCCTCTTACAAATTTTTTATCATGAATGAATATTTTACAATATATGTTTCTTTCCCCAAATATAGAGACACAGCATTTGTATTCTTTCCATATCAAGCTATACCAACTCCATTCTGTGCATTAAATATGAATGTAAAGGGAACACAGAATTCAAGCATCTTTGCTACCGAAATTTTGTGATGGAAATTACATTTAAGCATATTTTCATTGCCTTTAGCACATCTTTATTCCTGAAGCTGTAGATGATAGGGTTGAGGCTGGGCGTGAGGATGGTATAGAATATGGCCTGGACCTTATCCTGGCCAGGAGTGTGGTACGACTTAGGTCTCATGTATGTGAAAATGAGTGGCCCATAGTACATGACAACCACAACCATGTGGAAGGAACAGGTGGAAAAGGACTTTTTCCAGGCCTGGGACGATTTGGTTTGCAAGACAGTGTGCAAAATTTTGACATAAGACAGAGAGATCATGAAGAAAGGGATGAACAGGAAAATAATGGCGCTAACATCAACCCCTCTTTCATAGTGTGATGTGTCCTCACAGGACAACTTCAGCAGGGCAGGGATCTCACAGAAATAGTGATCGATCACCCTAGGCTCACAGAAGGGAAAGTGGAGCACATACACTGTGTGCACAATGGAGTTGAGGGTCCCCACCAGCCAGGC